AAGCCGAAAGGTGCACAGTGTTCTGTGCCTGAGAGCTGTTCTTTGTGTGCCGTTGTCAAGTGTCAAGTCTCTTCTGCAATAACCACGATTTCAGTTCTGTCAGTAGACCACATGGTGTGACCAACTAAAAAATACTAAAGAGTCGTCTGAGACACTCTGAGAGACGGCTTCTTGCGATGATTGGGGTTTGTCAGAGAGGGAAAAAGATGCTCTGCTCACTTGTGTAAAGGCCTACGTGCTAAACAAAGACCCAACAAGGAGAGAAAGTAGAGGTTTGACGGAAAGCCGACACTTTGATGATACAATGTGGAGGGCCCTTCCCGGGCCTGACACTGCCTCAGCTTCGAAATCCGTCCCCGAATGAAGTGACGATGACTTCTCGTATGTGTGTGGACAAGCCGTGTCTCAGACGTCTCTTCAGTCAGATTGACAAAAGAGTCCGGTCTTCTTACTCACTCCTTCCAGCCTGCCACAGAAAGGCACACGACACGCAACACATACATGAATGAATTCGACTTTCGGTTTGTGTTATGGTATGCCCACAAGCAGAAGATGCGACCGTTTCCGCTGCATCTGCCAGAGGGAAGTCATCCTAGATGCAGCACGATGGGGGGAGGGGGGAACGCTCGCTCTCCTTGTACACAATCTGTCCTTTTCCGACAGACTGATACAGAAGGATGGCTTTTGTGCACATACACTTCACATTCACATGATCCAACTCGCTGTCAGAGTAAACAAGCTCCTGCGGATCCCCCTTGACAGCTGCACCGCCAACAATGGCGCGGCGCTCTCTATGCTGCATCTGTGAGCGGCAACAGCGATTCATACCTGGACGGCTCAGGGGCAGGGGGGGACGGCAGACCGGAAAAGCAGAGACACACACCAGCCGACCTTACTTATCCGCCAAGACTACGCAAACTGGCGGGTTTATGTCTTACCGGTGAGATGATTCATTCATTCAGACTCAGATGAAAAAGGACTAGAGCTATCGTGTGCATCCCCCGGCCCACCTTTCCGCCGGGGTCTCGAATTGAGTTAATGTTGTCCCCCCCAAAAGATAAACCGCCTGACGAGGGGTGTTGACTTCCGTTTGACGGTTTGTATGTTTTCTTTTTATTGTACGGTTTGTATGTAAATTGCAGCGCCCTTTTTCATGACCTTTGTTCGTCAGTACAACAGCAGTACAATCGTCACTCACTCAATTCCTTATTCGTGACTGAACGTGAGTCAGGAATGAATATTCACCCCCACATTAACCGACCTGTCGCACCGCACCGCACAAGATTGGAAGGGGAGATAGGTAGGGGGGTACCCATAATTTTTTCCGCCCATGTATTGCTTTACTTTCCAGTAGTGCAAACATACGCATGCACAGGTCTCGCCGAAGGTTTTACGCAGAACAACCCTTAGTGTCACACCACATCATTTTCCATTCGGCTATCCTCTGGCTTCCTCGCTTGGCAGAAATGTGCCTCATCTATCAGTCGATGGATCGGCATCCTCAAGATGCAACGGGAAGCGTCCTCGGCGCACCATCAATCCATGGCGTCGCCTCGGAGGCGCTCTTGCTCCAGGTGCCCCCTGGTTCTCTCGTAATCGTTGTCAGGACTCCACGTGCGACTATCATTCAGAGGGTATACCGTAAGTCGGCTCGTCCAGCATAAGCAATGAGTGGTCCATTGTCCACCTGCAGGTATCTAGGGTCTGGTCGAGATACATCTCACGGGTCAGCGGTCACCCCGAGGTCTTCGAATGGATACCGCAATGTTGAGGTATGGAGGCCAGCTGAGGCCGCACGGGCACATTGGATATGGGGTAGTGTATTTCACCCCTACAGGATGCCTTCTCTCTGACAATTCAGGCACTCTCGCCCCTGTCCCTTCGCAACTGTCATCTTCTCGACAGGGCTCAGCCCGACACGGAGGGGCTGCTCGTGCATACTTGCATCCCCTTCTCTCTTTCTCTGGCGATTGTGGTGATGTGGTTGTTCACGGTAGGATTGTGTCTTCGACATTCAGGTACCCTCATGTTATTCCCTTTGGGTCGGCCCCCTCTCCCTACTCTCTTCCATGCGACGTCACAGGGACGAGGCAGCGACGAGCGTCCGGCTGCACTAACCTCCGCCTGCAATTACGAAGCAGTAGCTAGCACAAGAGGTCCATCTCTCTCCCTTGCGTGTTGCAGGAGCACTGGGTGTCGGTGATATTTGTTTGCTTGAGTGAGAGTTATGTGGCGGGCATCCATCACTGGCTGACATCGTCAGGCCTATATGATGATGCCTTGGATGGGCAAGGCTGTATAGTCTGGTGCTAGTTACCCTGCAGTTCCATGTTATGAGACTTCGATAAGAGTCGATCTTCATTTCAAGTGTGGCGTGAGTATGAGTGTCTCTCATTCATGGGTGGTGGCGCCCAGGTACATGGCACGCCCACCCCCATACAGATCGGTCCATGTCCTTACATGTATCACTGGTACCACGTATGACATATATATCCTTCAATGCAGTCATTGCTGCTACCGCTTCAACAAACAACGACCAGAGCGGTCATCATTGCCTGACATCCGTACCATCACACACGAGTGAATGATCAAGTCCATCCCGCTTGCAGTCTTTGGTCTCCATCAGGCCTCCCATCTGATGGCGCAACCCGGGGCGACTACCTTTCCGTGCGTAAGAGGCCTCCCATCTCAATACGCTACCCCTGTGCTTTCCACGCTGTCCTTTTCAGACAGTCATGATCACACAAGGCATCGCTCGGCTGTCTCGCCTTACGATGGCCTGACTGTACATTGAGCCGTAGGAATCCCTCATCTACGACCGACAGGTGACCCAGTCGATAGCGAACCAAGTGGAGACACTCAACACTTGACCCGACGGTCTTGTCCATGCGGAGCTTGGCTACCCTCACATGAATATTGACCGTTTTCACCCGCCTTGCCTGTTGACTATAGGTGAGGGCTGTCGCCCCCGTACCACAGCATGCCACTTCCGCCTCCCGGAGCCCGACATACTGCCGACTAGAGGGTACCACAGTAGGATGTCTCTTCATCCTTCGCTAGACACGAGGGCCTTCAGCTTACTCCCTTGCGCTATACCTTGGATTTTACGTGCCCCCGGATCCTCACGGACCCACTGCCCCCTGTTAAAGACATGGCATTGGGAGACCCCACCTCCCTCGCCCATCTCTGGGAGGCGCAGGATCGTGCTCATACGTTGAGTCTGTCAGCAGTGTATCGTTTCTTACCGAACTGGCGTAATGGCCCAGTCCGTCCATACTTGGCTTTGTCACTTGTCGCGTTCTCTCCCCCGTGGCGGTCTGCCAGGGGATATTTCCTTAGCCAGCCAAAGCTGCTTGGGCCTTCTCCGTTCCCTCCTCGATGGTGCTTCGCACCACGAGTTCAGTCAGTTCCTCTCCTCTTTCCCCGTTAATTAACGTGTAACTGTACTCTCTCTCATGCTCTCCGGGGCCATACAGACTAGATTCTTCCTCAAATATCCGTCCACATGGGCGGTAGGGTGTGAGACATGTGTTGGTATGCCTCGACGGCTTATGCGCAGTAGAGGCAGATGGACAACATCAGGGCTTCGGGTGGTGCGCTGGAGTGTGCCCCCTATCCGTGTTGAGTCGCGGCTACCCTCCGCACGTAGCACCGCGCTCTGGCTCATCCTCGGCAAGGCAACTTACGGAAGGTCCATCAGACAGACAGGCCAAAGGCCCACCTGCCAGACGGAAGGAGAAGAGCCATCTTGGGGGATTACTCACACTTCATGGCGCCCTGTGCCTCAGGCTTATTGGGGTGGCCCCTCTCTCCGGGCAGGGAATCAGTTGATGTGTCTTGAGGCAAGTAAGAAGTGGTGGTGAGAAGCGGACCTCACCACTCACACGGGATCAGTGACCTCCTACAGAAGTGGTCAACTGGATAGGCTTGCAGCTTATAGGAGTGAAGGCTACAGACGACCGAAGGTCTGGGAGTGGCCAGGAACACTGAAAATACGCTAAGTAGGGCAAAGTTCGCAAACTCAATATTTGGGTGAATCGAGATGAAGCAAAAAGGCAGGAATGTTCAATCGGCGCGCCCAAGGGCCTCAGTTCTCGCCCTTTGGGCCGTTCGCCTCTCGCCCTTGGGCGGGAGGCCTCTCGCCCCGACACTGTTTTACGATACTCTAACTCTGATTCTCGACTGGGGGAAAATAGGTAACCCCCTCCTCCTTCTTTTCCCAGGTTTTGGAAAAAGTGCTACCGACACGACCCGCAGCCGACCCGTCGTCGGCGTTTCGGACGGCTGCGAAGAAGACTTTGACACACTCACTCAATCGCAATCGAATGCGGCAAGGGATCACACTAAGTGATGCCCCCAGACCACTCCGACTTTCTCAAAACAGTCCCTCAGAACATGCATGTCGTGTTGGCTTGTTGTGGGTTGTGTGCATGTGCAATAATATAGCGTACGCCTGTTTTCTTGCCGTATTCTGCAGAAGCATTGTCAAATCCCTCCGCACCCAGCTTTTCGTACACCTTTACATAATTTGGCGGCCACGCCGCCATACGAGCTTCAACGCGAACGTCCACAAAGCCTGCTGCTTCAATCATATTGCCGAGCAGCCTGCCATGTGCCCCTCCCCCAACCCGGACTGCACCAATACGGTTCACTCATCTAGGGGTACACTCACTTGCGATTCCAGGTATAGAGATGATGATCTGCGTCTGCTTTCGCCCCAATAAACGCTTCATCTTTCCACTCATGTTTGATGCCGACGAGAAGACGACCTCTAGGCTTCAGAGTCGCACGAATGCGGCGCAGCTCGCAAATCGGACACCCAACATGCTCCAAGACAGACAGCGTAAAGGCGAGATCAACAGTGCCACAACGCACTGAGCTTACGTGAGCTACTACTTGTTCGATGCCCTGTTTTATCGCGTCGCTGCGTCCAAATGGATTGATTTCTACACAAATACGTCGAGCTTGCCGGGGGTTCATATGGGAGAGAACAAAACCACCGCCACATCCGAAATCCATCACCGTGTCCGTCGGACGAAGCAGTCCTTCAAACAAATGCTGTTTGGCCTTGCCTCCGAAGACGCCCATTGGCCGCTGATATTTATAATAGGTCTTGTCATAGAAGCCCACATCATCAATTGAGTGCACCAATTCTTCGTCCACTGGTGAAACCAGCGTTTGTCTTGGAAGCAGAGGAGGAAAGGCTCCTTGATATGGACCACGTAGAATCAAAACAATCACCAATAAGGAACACAAGAAGCCGTAGGCGACAACGAAGACACTTTTCATTTTTTGTTTTTTAATTTTTTCAATTTTATTTTTACGCGTGTTTCTACGTATGTTTACGCCGGCTCCATGGCCGAGTGGTGCCACGGAGTCATGTCAGCCGGTCGTCGTTCGGGACTCGCGAAGCTTGCGAGCGAGGCACGCTCTTTCGGGACTCGCGAGTTTCACGAGCGTGGCACGCTCTTACGAAACAAAGTGTATATCCGTCCGTCCGGACGGATCGCAATCGAGAGGGCCCAGGCAGCCATCGAACAGCGGCACGCAGAGAGTCATGCTGCTGGTGCGAGAGGTCGAGCCCACTCCACACGGGGCTGAGGAGGGCTCTGACGCCTCATCGTGCTGTGAGCAGTCCCTGCCATTGCCGAGTGGCGATGTGGTGAGCGACGATGGCGAGGGCGGTGACGACGACGAGAGGGGCGACACCCACAGCTGGGTCACGGCTGGCACCGAGGAGGGCTGGCCTAGCTCTCCTTTGCTTGGGGCGGGTCCGTCGCCGCCGTCGCCGAGGTGTCGCCAGCCGGCTGGGGACAGCGCTGCGGACGAGAAGCCTTGTGACGTTTGTGTTGGTGCTGGTGCTGGTGATGGGGAAGATCAGGAGGACGACGGAATCATTGGCATGTCGGATGACGACTCAGAGGTACCGATAGAGGGAGAGAGGATCCAGCCATGATACACACGTGTCTGTGTGTGTGTGTGTGTCCCTCCCTTTCCTCCCCCCCTGTCTCCCTCCCCTCTGTCAGATGGACTTCCGCTGCGACAGCCCCGCGGCACATCCCCGCCACTATGAGTGCGAGCAGCGACACAGATACAGCTTCGCTCACTCCACATGCACCACCACCACAGCGGCAGCAGCAGCAGCAGCAGCCAAGACACGATGTCGCTCCTACTCCGAGAGCTATGCATTTCACCTGCCCCCCGTCAGCGAGCCCGCCACACGCCCAGCAATGGCCCCCAATGGCCGGAGAGCCAAGGAGGGCGAAATGGTGGAGGGTTGGTCGAGTCCGAATTGGCGTGTGGTGCCGCACGAGGACCTGCGGGTGGTGCGGACCTCCCGCGACGCGCGGCAGTTTGAGTTCCATCCTGTGAGGGAAGATGTGATGCTCGTCGGACACAAAAGTGGCGCGGTGAGCCGGGGAGGGAGGGAGAGAGGGAGAGAGGGATGACGTGTGTCCTTTAC